GAAAAAATAAAAAATCGCTAATCGCATGTACGTAGTCCCCGAAGTTAGAACATTCACCTTATTTTTTGAAGAGACCTTTCAAATTTAGGCCTAAAGTCGCTCTTGAAGTGGAGAAATATTATTGTAACGCATTTCAGCAGACACTTTATCATCAGCGAATGATTCAGTCGACAAACAAAAGTTTGCATCTATGGATATCCAGTTATTTGAAGAATATTAACTTCCTGGTGGAACTAAATACATCATTATTCGTTCTCGTATATCTTCATTGGCCTGTCCGTGACACGGATGAGATAGGTGTACTTTCAGTTGAAAAGTACACGTACATAGCACATCTATCACAGAGGGAAACGAAATGAAACCTTGCTCATGCACCTCGGATAGTGCCACGGTCCATGGTCGCACGCAGTTTATAAATGATTCGATCAGTCATCGACAAAACGTCAAACCCGTTAACCACATGTATAATTCCTAGTTTTACGGTTCTTTTCTCATCGAAAAAACGGGGTTACGTTGCGATTGTGAAACCACAATTTCTGTTTACAACTATGCACTATAAAACACATGGAGTGCACATTTTTAACGCGTACACTTGATGCTTGTTTAACACTAACTTTCATTCGAAGCAGGTAACTGGGAAGTATTCAAATTTTAATTCACATTCATTTTGGTTTTCTACAGACGGATGTCCACCAAACGGACTCGCTTGCGACTAATTTCATTTCCAAAAACAGGAACAAAAAACTTGTTTTAGTTTCGAAAACAAACTCGGAACTCGAATTTCATCAAACAGACAAAAACTAGTCTGAGTCGCGCGTTTTATCGTGAACTGTTTTCTATCGTTTCCACTAGACGAACAGCAATTAAATTGCTGCATTGAACAACTGTCTATATCTTTTTTTCGTTCGTGTTCTCCAAAAGAAAATTCGATCTCATTATTGTTTTAAATAAATAACAATACAACAAATCAATAAAAATAGCCTGCCTAGTGCCGATAACAAAAATTTATACCCACCATATAGTAATAATGTCGCCGACCGTTACACATAGTGAATTCAGTTTACAAAAAAAGAGACAAAACACTGAAACTTTTTGATCTTTCTGTCTGCCGACGGGACACTTCATTGTTGACAAAAACAGTCGCCCGCAACACAAAGTCTTCAAAATGTTTCTTGTTTTGTCAACTGAAATTTTTGTTTGCTGTTTTTGTTGCTGTTTTGTTGTGGTTTTGTCCGTTTGTCCGCCATGAAAACGAGAATATATTCAAATTAGATTATCTGCTACCCTCAACTTCGAAATTTTTAATATGGGGCCGTATTTTTGTAGCAAATTTTAGTTTTTCAATGTTCATTCAATATTCTGAAATTTAACTATCCCCGATGTTAGTCAGACTTTGTGGGAATAAAATTCAATACCATGATACAATAATACATTTCATAATTGTGGCAGTTTCCTAAGTTCGAACTCAACATCAACTAGATATTATTCTCTCGAAAGTGTATCTAGTTGAATGTGGGTTGATTTCGCTACGTTAAGCTCTAAGTGGCTCGAGGAGTTATCAACTTAACCTGCTCAGGACCCGAGGCTAACGACCAAAGTAGTCAATGCCACCGAAGAAAAAAAAATATCTAAATTATTCAATTTGTACACTGTTGTTCGCAACTTCGTCGCTTGTGCTAATTCCTAACTAATGAGCATTGTGAACTATTCTGCCTGATCTTCGAAATGGCCACAATATATACCAACAGAATGTCATCGTGATTTCATCCAGGTTTGGAGACCAGCTCCCCTACCCTTTTGGCTGATTGTTGGTCTTGAGAGGGACCAATGGGTTCATGACTGAATTGGTGACGGCATGAAGTCCTTAGACATCAGTGCCGCCCTTCACGGGATACCCCTACCTGGCTGGGGTGGGATGGATGAAAAAGTTATTCATCCGTTAACG